CTAGTACTGGTCTTCCAATTAAGTCCTAATAAACTTTGCTTAGGTTTGGATCAAAACAAGTTCAGTTATATGCTGCCTCTTGCTGAGAAAGCATTATCAATAGCCTAATGTTCAAAATTAATATATTTAAACTCCTGATTTTACAATTCACACCTGCGATGCCAAACTTGTATCCGAATGTCTGTGCAGAGATTCAAGTAAAAGATCTAACTGAAATGCTCAATGTAAATCTCAACTGATAGTATGTGCACACAGATGTTATTTTTCATTAAGTACTTACCAATTCACAACATGGCCTGATGTAAGGACTATAAAGTGAGATGTACCTGATCTCTTCAAAAGTAGGATTTTCCATAGTGCATGACCTTAAAAATGTAAACAAATAATTTAGAAAAGTTGATTTAACAAAAATGCTGATTACCCATGTTTAAATGCATTTTTGTTAAAAGAAAAACAACTATTTGTTGCAAAACAAAATTGAAAACATTGTTTTAACAACTTACACAGTAATAAATGGTAAAATTAAAACAATTTAATTATTACATTAATTCTAGAAGATCAGATATTTATCCACATCTATACTTTCCTTGTACCCGTGTATGACATACAAAAAATCCTATTCATTAGGTAGTTGTAAAAATTGTCAGTTTTATGAAGGGAAATGAAGGGAAGAACCATCTTGCTGGATCAGGAGAAGGACCATTTTATTCCACGGTTTTGCTTCTCATACTGGCAAGATGCTATGTAGTACTTGGGTGCAAGGAACAATTACATTCTCTTTTCCCAATATCAATTGTTCTCTGCAATTGATATTTGGAAGCTTGCTTCTTTCAACCTAAAAGTAATAGTGAATTTGCAAGCATTTAAAATATCTATTCTCTACGAATACATTCAATTCCTTTTTTAAAAGTTATACAAATCAACAGCCATCGGTGCATTTTGTGGTGATAAATTTAACAAAGTAAGTATGATCTGTACAAAGAATTGCATCTTTCCATCTTTTCCAAATCATTTTCCAACCAGTATTGAATGACTCCTAGTCCTAATGCCCTAAGAAGGAAAAAAAATTCCCTTAGACTTTTTCCTTGATTTGTATATTATGCAGCTCAATTATATCTTCTTTCAATTACACTTTTCCAAACTGCAGGCTTACACACATTCTCATATGGAAGCAGTTTGAATCCTTTTTTAACTGCAGTGACAATAGCTATACACGGTATTCCAAATGCAGACATACTATATATTTGTGAAATGACACTGTAAGTTCGATGCTTTTACTTTCAATTGAATTTCATTTGCCTTTTGGTTGACTGGTTAGTCAACTTTCAAAGATATTTCCAGAGTTTTTCAAAATCATGTTCCAAAAAATATCCTGAAAACTTTGGTACCATCCTTAAGCTTGGCCAGTTCATTGCTTACTTGTAAGTTGATTTCATCTATAAGCAAGTTAAAAAGCACTAGTCCTTAACACACAACCTTGCTGGATTCCTCTTACCGAATTTCTCTTATTCCTTGAATCATAACTGGGGCCACTCAGAACACTTTCGGGTCATCGAGAGGAATCTGGGAGCCCAAAAAGGCAGTCACTTGGAAGCTAATCCAGGAGGAAGCCTTCTGCGGTTGCTAGAGATAATATCAGCAGAGAATGATGCCCAGAGGAGAGAACAAAAGTGGCTGCCCTTAAAAAAACGCGGAGCTTTCCCACGCCTTAGATGAGCTGCATCATGGCATTCATCCGTACAAGAGTCTGCAGATTGGACTATGGCAATAACTGCAGCCCAATGCGTTAGGAAAACGCCGGGCTGCCTACAGCGATTCCGAGCCAGAATTCGTACATCAATAAGTACATAGGAAAGCACTTTTTAATGTGCTGCCTAAAGGCGGGACACGGGACAAGGGAGCCCCACGAGACTCGTGGCCCAGGAGCTCAGCCACGGAGAAGGCTGAAGGACCGCGAAGTTTAATCAAAGTCGCGACCGCATCAATGCACGGAGCTTTCCTCTCACCGGGGTGACCGGCGAGCTTTACGGGACTCACCGATGCTCTATCCCCCCACGCCGCCTTGCTTCTTTCCCCGAAAGGAACAATCACCGCGTCACCACGTCACCACCATCCAACACGCTTCCGACTTACTCTGCCTCCTCATTGGCCACTCGCTGCATAGAGCAGACCTTTACTTTCAAAATGGGATGGTAAACCTTTGCGCTTTCCGGACTGTGAACATCATTTCCGGTACTTTGCATCTTCCGCCATAGAGAAAAGCGGCCTTTTTAATAGAGGGGTGTATTTGGACCACGAGACCTGTCTGTCGTCTTGTATTTGTTGCTATTTTTTTTTTAAATAATCGGATGACATGCAAAAAGTTTTCTTAATTGGACTTATCCAGTTCAAACCCTTCCATATATCTTCCTGGAACAGTTTTGGTATGGACGGCGGACCTACGCTGCGTTTATAATTATATTAATGATGATGCAATGATACGTTTTATTTTTTAAGTTTTATTTTTTTTCTGTTATATAAATGGCTTCTAGTTGTTAAACATACCGGCGATATGGAAATGTTTTAATAAAGAAAAAAGTAATTTTGAACACATGCTATTATCAGTTATCATTAGTTATCCTGTATTACGATTATTGCAATAGTAGCATTGATAGTGGAGACAACAGTAGAAAAATGGAGAAGGCTGAAGTTAACTAACAGCGTACTGGAGCAATTCAACTGAAAAACACTAACTGTATGAATTGTTTCCAATTGCTGTCATTTGGGGCATGAAACAGTGTTATTGGCAGGGAGGGGAACAGTTGCAAAATGGCTTTTAGAATCTAAGCTTGACAAATTGGTTATTTAATGCTTTTGAACTAGGAATTGAATGTTAAATTCTGCTACATCACATATAAGGAAGTGTGCTACTCTATAAGAATAATTTTGAAGTTCACAGAAGAACCATACATATGTTTTCAAGCTTTTCAGATAATAAAAATTTCAAAATGGTAGAGTGAGACTTCCCCCACAGGGTTTATTTCTTGTAAATAAACGCAAATAAATATCATTTGGCCATAGTTCCCTAGACATATCTCTCCAACTTGATGCCGTGCAGGTTTTTTGGACTCAGCCTTCCATCCTTCCAAGGTCGGAATGAGGACCCAGATAGTTGATGACATTTGTAAACCACTCAGAGATGAGCTGTAAAGCACTGTGGATCTGTATATAAGTGCTATTGCTATTAAAGCAGAGAAGGTCTTCCTCAGTGAGGAAGTCATTATATAGCTTGAGTCAAATATAACTTGGGGGGGGGGTTGAAAGAGTTTAACACTGTAACAAATCTCTTGTGAGGTTGTCTACCTGGATTTGTTGTTTTTTTAAAAAAAGATTTTTAGGACTTAGAATTGGCACAAAGTTGGAATCTTAAGCATAGGAACAATTTTCTCTTCTTCACTCACATTCACAGTTCTTTTGCTATTGGATATGATTTAAGATTAAAGATAGAAAGGACTTTGTATTCATTCTCTGCTGGCCAGTCACCTCAGTAAGAGCAGTTTATTGCAGTGTGTCATGCGTGGACTCTTATTTGCTGTAGAAAACTCTTGGAATTTGGATCATTATTTAAAATTCAAAAAATACATAGTTTTGTAGTCATTGAGAGATTGAAACTGTAGCTGGCAGAAAAAAAATATTAGGGATGGCTGATCTATTGGATATTGAAAACAGTAAATTACTTATGATTATCTATTATAAATTACTTGAATTTACAGCCAGTTGTCTTGAATGTAGTTAGACATAAAGCTAATTCCCAAATGCCTGATGGAGTATGCTTTGAAATTTGAAATGTGTATATCCTAAGTAGAATATTAAAAGGGGATTAGTATCCATGTTTTATTTTTTGAATACCATAATTTCATTTCTTTGGCCACATAGTTTTATTTTCAGGTACTTGGAAAATTGAAATTATTGATGACCATAGTTACATTAATGTAAATTGTTTTCCCTTTTCTCCTTTTCTTTTAAATAAATAAAGGCATCAGCATGGTTGAAAATTCACCAGCCCCATTGCCTGAAAGAGCGATATATGGTTTTGTTCTTTACTTGGGCTCTCAATTTGCTTTTAGTAAGTAATCCATTTAAATTCAATACTTTGAATGTTGTGATACAATATATCTCAATGTACCTCAAAACAAGATAATATATGTATGTTGGCTGCTGCATTTCATTGTTGTCTTTTCAACATTGCCTATGCTACAATTGAAAGCTTTGTAAAGTTTCAGGGAGTTAAAGTGCAGTGTTGCATGTGATACCCATACTGAAAATAAGAGTCATAGTACTGAAGGTGCTGCACATGAGAGTAAATTATGTTGAATTAATTGCTTCTAATTAAAGATAGACAAGATCTCAATGGTCAAATGACATGTTAGATGGCAAATAGAGTATCTTATATATATGTATTTGTGTTTATTTAAAAGACCTTGATTACAGATAGTCCACGCTTTAATGTATATTCATTCAGCCACTGTTCAGTGTTCAGTTACCACAGCACTGAATGAAGGGACTTATACCCAGTCTTTGAAATTTCAGTCATTGTAGCTCCCTTGTGATCACATGAACAACATTTGGGCCCACTTGGCACACTTGCCTTGACAATGATCTTTTGGGCATCTGCCTACATGCAGCTGCATCCATTTCACCATGTGGCACTACTGTACTAGCTAAGACCTTGTTTCACATCAATACAGCTGACGCTTCTCTCTCACCCCACACAGGGTCTTTTATCACATGCCAGGCGTGTTTCATGAAAGAAGGCTCTGGGCGGGTCATGAATGGAGGCCCTGAGCATGACATAAGAGAAATTCTGGCTAAAGTCTTGGCTGCACTGGCCCAAGAAAAGGCAGCATGAAAGAAGGTCCTGGCAATACAGTAATGGTGCAGTGGGTAGGCAGGCAGCCAGAAGGGCAGAGACAGGGGAAGGAGATAGGCAGGTGGAGGGAGTTCTTAACCTTGCTGAGGCTTGGGGGTGGGAGGACCAAGTATTCACAATTTTCAGAGAAATTAAAGAACTATATCTTTTAACAATAATACTAACATTAATATTGGCATCAAAATTCACCACTACCATTTTAAAACTTTTTCATGTATCCTGTGCCCCCACCAGAAGCAAGATACTAGAAAGAGAGTAGCAACAATCTTTTAAATCAGAAAGCCCTGAAGTGATAAAATTACACACTTTCCTCATATACAGTTCTAGGCAAAAATTTAGACATCCCTGGTCGAACTGCATGTTTTGATGTATACCTAAATGAACAGAAGCTGACTTCAAAACTGACTCAGCTTTTATCTGGTTGAAAGTTAGACTGAATTCTTTTTGTGAAATTGGATGCATACATACATATTATTTATCTTCATACAATTGTAAGCTATGAATATGTTCAGCTATTTTCTAATGCATATCCATACAAAATATCCACCAATGAGCCAGAAATGCTAACTTCCTAGATCAAAGATAAAACTAAATCATCTTTTATTATGGCTGTTAAAAATACTACTGAGAAATTGTTAATTTACCTCCCTCCAACCAATTATGGATATAATATGATTATTAAAATGATTCTTCCATTATATGCTTGCTTTCTTTGTGGAAATAATATAATTCACTATTGTACTTAATTTTTTTGCTTTTTGTCTGTGTGCTGTATCTATGTGGATGTATGTAGTTCTGTATATTGTGTGGGCCTACATACCTGAATCCTGGCTGTTCTCGTTGGGCTTAACATACTGGCCTCAAAAGTAAGTTCTTAATAACACTTTCATTAAAGGTTTTCATACTGAATCTACTGAATGATTTTGCAAATACTATGTATATTTTAACAATACAGGTAATCCTTGACTTATAACAGTTTGTTTAATGACCGAAGTTACAATGGCACTGAAAAAAGTGACTTATGACTGTTTTTTACACTTACAACATTGCACCATCCTCTGGTCATGTGATCAAAACTCAGACACTTGGCAACAGATTCATATTTATGATGGTTGCAGTGTCCTGGGGTGATGTGATCATCTTTTGTGACCTTCTGATAAGCAAAGTCAACAGGAAAGGCAGATTCACTTAACAACCGTGTTAATAACTTAACAACTGCAATGATTCATTTAACAACTGTGAAACATTATAAAATGGCCACGCGAGAGCGGACCTCCGCTCCCCACAGCTAGTTTCTTCCTGTTTGGGGGACCCTAGATGGGTCCGAAGTTGTCCCGGAGAGGGGGATTATTATTATTTGAATAAATATAAAAAATGTCTATATCTAATCATTTATATATTGAAAATATTAAGAATTATATTTTGGCTAAGGTTGAAGAAGGGAAATACAAATGGGAGAAGGGAAAGATCAAAGAAATGTATCATTAATTAATATATTAATTATGGAATTATAAAATTTAATCATTATTGACTGTTAATTATTTGTTTTTTTTCTTGTTAAAATATAAACCAAGACAATACGCTGTACACCAGGCACTGGAGATTGTTATAGTTAGATTTAAGAACATATATGATGTTGAATGTGGCTTTTAAGTATGAGTAAAGTTATGAAACTAAAAACCAAATAGTCAGGACTGTGACCTTGAAAAGGAGACAGATAACAAAAACCAGACTGTTGTCTATGCTATAAAAAAGTAGGATATGGTCACAAATAAATGCCATTGTCTATGGAACATGGTGTTGGTATTTAAAACAAGATTGGAGTGGAGTCCTTAGTGCTCTCTGAGCTTGGTTGTTCACTTGCAGATGTTTTATTACATGACTAGGTAATAACCATGCACATGGAGCACCAGGGACCCCCACTGTTCAAGATATATTTTCTTCTATCAGGACTGGCATCCCTGATTGTAGGGGCAGATCACAGTAAGATTTCCCCTTAAATTTTATCTGAAATATTCCAGTTCTAGAGATCGTAATATGATTTACATTTTATTCTTTATCATTTATATGTAACAAACCAAAGATACATAACCTATAACGTTGTGTTTAGGGGCTCTTTTGCAATCCTTTGGTGGAAAGAAAGAATCTCTGTCCATTCAAAGTGTACTACTTATACAGTTCTAACTAATCTTTCTACATTCTCAGAATTTTGAATTAAAGATCCCTAGGATTTTAGACTTTCTTTCCAAACAAACCGCTCCATTCCCAACATTATGATGTTACCAATTCTCTTCTTTTTCTTCTATGCTATGATATATTGATAGTTTTATTGCATTTTCTCGTATGTATGAATCACTATTTCAAGTATTGTTTCTACTTCTTAGATTCTGGGCTACTGCATTGCCTGTATATCTTTTAGTTGCTGTGGGAATAGGCTATGTACTCCTCTTTGGTATTAACATGATCAGTACAGCTCCACTGAATTCTACAGATACTATAACAGGTAAGCACAAGAACTACAAAATATACCTAGAAGAGTTTGTAATGTACTCTAACAGTTTATTATGAGATGAGCATACTAATCTCTCAAGTATATGGGTTTTCTGCTTTTATGTTGTATTATTTGCATCATTATGTTTTAGAACCCACAGCTAGTTTGATCTAGTGGTTAAGGCAACAGGTTAGAAAGCAAGGGACCATGAATTTAAATCCCACCTTAGCTATAAAAGCCAGCTGGGTGACTTTGGGTCAGTCAATCTCTCTCCGCTAAATTCACCTCACAAGGTTGTTGTTGTGGAGAAAATAAGAGGATAAAGATGTTTTAAATAGGTTTGCTGTCTTAGTGTATTTGTAAAAATAATAAAAGTGAGATGCAGAATGGATGGATGGATGATCAATTGGCTTTTTAGAATAAAGTTTCCAAAGTGATAGTGTACTGACTGTATTGGCAAACACGTGACTGAGGGGGAGACACTGTGAAGGTTATAAATCAGGGGTCTTCAAACTTGGCTCTTTTATGACTTGTGGACTTCAACTCCCAGAATTCCTCAGCCAGCATGCTGGCTGAGGAATTCTGGGAGTTGAAATCCACAAGTCATAAAAGAGCCAAGTTTGAAGACCCCTGTTATAAATGCAGGCATTGGTCACAAATTTACTTTTTCATCACCACTGCAACTGCGAATGGTTGGTATCAGAGACAGTCTCTAACATATTTCTGCAATAAATAAGTTCTTGCGTTCACACTACATTTCATCTCATCAAACAAAAATGTATTTGTGATTTTTAAAAATCTTTTACAGATCACTATGCAAAAAATCAAAAGCAGAAAATAACACAAGAAGAAGCAATTCCTGCATTAAGAGATATTCCTATTCATGAAGTAAATAAAATGTTTTTTCTTAATAGCAAAGAGGATTAATACAGAGGCTCGTGTCAGAAAGTATTTAAAATTTGCTCTTATGAAACACAATATAGAAATATTGACAATAGGGTGCCAAAACACTTGACTTCAGACAGTTTACATAAATTAGCCCTAAAATAAGACTGTAATAGTTAAACAGCATTTTAAGGATTAGGTAGATTCTCTTGGGGCATTATATTTCCACAACTTTGATTCATTCATCCTTAGTCCAAGTTGCTTTTTTTCTTATACATTTTTTCATTTGTTCAGATACAGTTTTTCATTTGTTCTCTCCTGTGTCTGATACTGTGTTCTAAATTATTTGAGGAAAGTAGTTTCCTTTGTGAAGTTCTATTAAAAAATCCTGCTATGTATTCCTCTCTATGTCAATATAGTATATTTACATGACAGTGAATTTAGCCACTTCTCAGTAGTGTTCTATTTGTAGACTAGTGAGGTATGTTCCAAGAGCTAATACATAAAACTACCAAATGTGATGGGTATGTTTCTTTTAACAAGGTGCACCATCTAAAATTAATATCATGTTTATTATAAAGCAGCTTAGATGTGCATAATGGAAGAGTTAGTCATTTAGATGTGATTTTGCTTCCAGGTGCATAGAAAAATTGGCAGCTAAAGTAAACAGAGTTCAGATTTTTAAGGTTATAGATACTGAATGTATTCCAATGTGAAAGTAATTCTGTAAATAATTACAATTGAAATGCAGACTTCAGTCCTGAATGTAATTGTTTCATAACAAGTCATAATATTTATATGCATGCTAGTTAACAATTAAAGACATTTTCATTACTCGCTGTTTCAATACATTTATTTCCAGTTTTATTCTTAAATCATGGTTAAAATAAATTTTGGAGATGTCACAAGAAATTGTAATATACCACAGTGAATTGGTATACAGAAGTGGCCAAAATTGTGGAAACGTTTTGGGAAAAGTGTACAATAGAAATGCCACCTTTGGTTAAGTTTCCACCAATTTTTCTTCTAATTTCTTTATAACTGTAGTAGCCTTGTTCACTTAATAATACTATTTTACATTGCTTTCTGAGCGACCAGTCAACTCTTTGTACCATTACTTTAATTTTAGTACGATTTACAAGCTCACTAAATGAAAGAACACACAAAAAAAATCAACCAACTTGATAGCGATCACATAACACACTGACAAATGTTCTCCTCTCAGCTTCAATACATGGCATCAATTACTGAATCCTACTGTGATCTGATTGGCTCATTGCCAAAACAAGATGACACCTGATTGGCTCTCTAAACACTCATGCTCCTTGGCTACAATCAGACGAAGGAAAGCTACCTGATATCAACCTAAGCAAGTTGTGCTTCCTTTTTCTGGTTATTTCGCTATAACCTTTCATAGAATACAGTACAGATAATTGAACAAACGATGTTGCATTACATTCTTGATTAAAGTATCTTTCCATTGATATATAATTTTATGGTACTACTCCAAACAAAAGTGATGTTATTAGCCATCAAACCTCAAATGTACACTTTCCCCAAAAGGTTTCCACAATTTTTGCACTACTGTATATACTTTCAGCAAAAAAGCTTGGAACACTGATTATTTCAATTTAGCTTTCTGTATTGGTATATAAATAATAGACAGCTAAAACTAAATTCTTTTTACAATTCTGGGTGGCTCTACACAGATAAATTCTATTCCTTGTAAGTGGTTATAGAATTGCAAGCTTAACACCTAAGGGAACATAAAAGAGACAAGAGGAAAAAACTGGAATTATGATACCCTACCCAACAATGACTGCAAAAACAGATCAATCACAAACCTCATTCTGATGTTTTGCTTGACCCTCCTTTGTTGTACTTTTAACTCATTTCTATTAGGGCAATAAAAATATGTCTGTCTGGGGGATATTCTGTGTGATCACTCTTTTAAGATTATTTTTCTGTTTATGATATATACTCTTTGAAGAGTGCTATCATTTTTCCCTTTGTATTTTCTGTAGGCTAATACTATATTCCAATACTGTATTCCCAGATCTTTTAACCATTCTTCATTGGCCTTAGTGTCTAGATTTTTCACCATTTTGGTAACCATCTTCTAATTTTTTTCCAATTTGTCATTGTTCATTCTGTGATACCTAAATCATATCACAGCATTCCAAATGGAGTCTGACCAAGGTAGAATAGGGGGACAAATTTGATGTAAGGTTAAAAAGATATAATTCAGGTCACAAGTAGTCCTCATTTAGCTACTATAATTGGGACTAGCAATTTGGTCCCTAAACAATGTGAAACAAAGTGAGATTGTCAGAGTGCTTATTATATTACCTCTTCCTTCCCTTGGTTTATAGACCTACAAAGGTTGCAAATGTGAGGATTGGTTGCAAGTTACTTTTACATCGTTGTTGTAACTGAATGATTGCTGTACAAAGCAGTTGCTGAACAAGAACTACCTGTAGAGTCAACTATGAATTCATTTGGTGCTGTCATTCTACTTCAACATTAACTTAGTATTTCTAAGGTTGAAATTAGTTTCTTGGAGGAAGGATGGATGAAAGATAGCTGCAGTTGAGACCAAAAGCAAAGTCCTTCTTACGATACAGTACTCGGAACCTTATCTTCAGTTGACTGTGGTAAGCCCTTTATTGACATAAATGTAAAGCTAATGCTATATCTTTATGACAATCTTGAAAGAAACATAAAAATGCCTTCCAGATAAAAACAGCATTAATTGAACATTTCGCTTTTGTAGTGAGGTGTGGGTGAAGAGATCTCTTTATATCATTTATTTTAAAAAAGCCATCTACTTTGATGGGTTTTGCTAGTCTTCTGTGGATAAATGAGCAATCCCCTCTGAAAGGAATAGGAAAGGCATTTCTGGTATGAGACTAGCAAATGATATGTGCAAAATAGCACATGACATTTCCATTGATATGGTTTGATTCTTTGGCATTTTCATAGACTATGTTTTCATGTTGTCCTGAAAACATAAACTGCCATTTTTTTCTTGAGAACTTCTCCCAACTTTATTTAGCTTTACAAATCAAATATAAACGTGTCTGCTTTATATGTCTGCTTAGGGGCTTATAACGCTGATTGCTTTGGTATCATCTCACAAGAAGATTACAGTATTCTTTACAATTCATAGAGGTGTTTCCCTGCCTGGAAGAATATTTGGCTGCATTTTATTTTATTTTTTTATTTACATTTCTATGCCGCCAATCTCCCCCCCCCCCCAAGATGACTCTGATTTGCCCCTACTAAAACAAGCTAGTCAGTTATGTACACCACGGGATAAGGCTTGCTCGTTGTTGACAAAGGTGAAAGGAACCTGAATGCGTAGCAGTAAGTTAAAGGCAGAGACAGTAAGACGAGACAGAAACTGGGAAAGTGTTAACAGGAAAATCGCCGTCCCTAAGTACTTCCCTCCCCCTCTTTCGAAACGGGAGACTTTCCCCCGTATGGAGCAGAACCAAGAAGCAGGTCACCTGACGCGCGGGCAAAGAAATGGAGCCCGGGGGCAATCTCCCGGCTGACACAAGGCAGAGTGGGAGGAATGCGATTTCTGGCCAATCAGCACCCTCTTTGCGTGATGAACCAATCGGGAAGCGGTGGCGTGGCTCCACCGCCGCTCTTCGCTTTGCAGAGAAGTTGCTGGTGCAGGGATGGAAATCTGGCCGTGAGCGGCCTTTCGCAGTCGCCGGCGGCACACACCCACACACACCCACACACACACCGCGTGCGTCATGCTGATCACGCTCTGCTACTTATACCTGTGGGCGCGCTGGGGGCCTTGTTCCGCTGGGCTCATCCGGCGCACAGTTCGCCGGCTGTACCGAACCAGGTGTTCGTTTACGTTCTGCTGTTCCTCCGGCTGCAGCTCCTCTTCCTCCTCCTCCTCCAGCTTTGGTTGTACTCGCTTCGCGTTGCATCAGCAGGCGCCCCATCTTCCAGCCGGCCTTTCCGACGAGATAATTTGCCTCCGGGTGGGCGACAAGGTTTTCTTCACTGGCGAAACTCAGGTGTGATGTGCAGTGGCAGAGAGTCGGCCAGAGAGGGCTAGGTCTATTGTAGGTTGCGTGGAAAGGGAAGTTGTGAGTGTGGATATGCGAGGGTTAGGGGAGCGTTGCTGTTGCACGCCTCTATTTATTAGGGGAGCTGAAAACTTTCACTCGTGGGAATAGCTGTTCCTTGGACAGGTCCGAGATAAACAAGAAATAGCAGATGAAGCTGAATGTGTGGGTACCAGCCACTGATGCTTTATTAACTGTTCAGTATTCTGGTTACAGCCTGTTTTTCCTGTTTTAAAACTTTACCAAGGCAGCTTGCACATGGATGTATTATAATTTAGGAGCGCTTACTATTAAACAAGTAACGAGATAGCAATATTTCACAACTTTTATCAGTTGAAATCTCAAAAAAAGCTGGTTTCAGCAAATGTAATAGTTAAATGCCTATATACATATATATACATGTATACATATATATAGTCATAAATACGTTTGTGTACATGTGCTTTATTTATGTATTAGTGTAGAATATCTGTTAAATGTGTAATGTGTGAACTTACCATGATATTTCTGGTAGGCTGAAAAGTTAGCCGCCTAACCTGATCAACCAGAAATGTTGATCTCCAATTCCCATAATTAGCAGCCAACTTTTTATTGCGAGGGGAATGTGGAAAGAAGTGCAAAGGTTGATATTACTCCTGTTACATAGGAGCAATATACAAGACTTGTAGTTACAGTGGTGGCAGTAATCATTGTGAAAAGTAGCTCAATAAAACAATAAAATGTTGTGATTCAGTGTATTAACAGTGTAGCTAAAAGCCAAGAATTAAATTGTAGAGTTACCAGAGTATTTGATTAATTCTAATAAGTTTGATGAGTTAAGGGATATATTGAGGTTACCACCTTTAATATGTGTAGATTGAGAAAACTGTTAAATCAAAATCTAGAGCAGGGGTGTCAAACCGCCAGCCCGCGGGCCAGATGCATCATCCGGAAGCTGCGCCCATCCCATTGCCGACAATGGCAAAACCGGCCTGATATGTTGCACAATGTCACGTGACATCGTGAGTTTGACATGTCTGATCTAGAGGAACAGAAATTCCTGTTCCAACTTTAAAAGTGTCTTTTTTCCTGCCCAAATAATTTTTTTCATCTTCATTTTGTTTCCTGCTCATGTAATTCATGTTCTGTCTTAGGTTATATCATTGTCTTAATGTTTGTATCACATGGTTGCAAAATCACTGAACTCACTTAATTCTTAAAGCAAAATTATTGGTGAGGTTCTGTGAAGGTTCGTTCTCTGAGCTTATGGGTTGGTTTCCAAACGTTTCATTACCAAGCTAGGTAACATCTTCAGCGGAGTTTAGAAGATGTCAGAGTCAGTGTTCTATTTATAAGGGCTTCAGGTGTGGGTGTGTCAAGTGAGGGTCTTGTAGTGGGTCAGGTATAAATCATCAGTGAGAGACTTGTGATGGGTCTTATGATAGGGAGGTTACATCATGTCAGGGTCATTGGGAGGTGAACTGATGGGAGGGGGATGGGTCAGGTATGGAGTCATCAGTGAGAGGCTTGTGATGGAGAGGTTACATTAGGTCAGGGTCATTGGGAGGTGAACTGGTGGAAGGGGAGGCTTGCGTGGATTGGTTGAGAGTCAGTGTGTTTCTGGTTGGCTGTGTGGTTGATTTGGATTCTGAGGGAGGTTAGTAGGCTGGTTGTAGGTCGATGTGTCTGTTGATGCAATTGTTTGTGAGCGTGGCGGGTAGTAGCGTGGCCAATGATTTTAGTTATTGGTGCTTGGCA